AATCCTCATGCCTGCGATAGACCGGAGACCCAAACTTGGTCGATAGACCCCACGTAATGCAACAGTCTGAGAGATCAAGTCTCGTCGCTCTTGAAAAGGCGTAGTCGAGGACCGGGCCGCGGGGACGCTAAGCCTCGCAATCATCTCAAGATAACCTCTAGATAACCCGACTTCACCCAATAGAGCGAAGTTATCGTCTGGAAATTGCGAACCAAGATTTACAGATTGAATGAAAGCAGCATTCACATCAGTTCTTGGGCTGTTTACGAAGAAAAACGCGACACTGACAACACACACGCACTCATACACACACACACACACACACACACACACACACACACACACACACACACACACACACACACACTGTTGATTGACGGTTGACACGCACGGAACCAAACAGCCACAGCACAACCCCCACAAACACAACTAGGTGAGTACAACTAGGCTGAGATTACGGTTGACAGGCACCAAAGAGCCACAGCACACACACACACAAACACACTAGGTGAACACACACACACACACACACACACACACACACACATAATCATGCAAACCCCCTTATACCACCTATGTAAGACCAATCCTGGAATATGCAGCTCCAGCCTGGAGTCCATACCTATTTAAACACAACACAAAGTTAGAGAAGAATCAGAGGCATGCCACCAGACTAGTCCCAGAACTGAGAGGTATGAGCTACGAGGAAAGGCTACAGGAGCTAAACCTCTCGTCCCTGAAAGACAGAAGAGTAAGGGGAGACATGATCACCACCTACAAAATTTTCAGAGGAAGTGACAGAATGGACAAAGATAAAATATTTACCACAGGTGGGACACGAACAAGGGGACATAGGTGGAAACTTAGTACCCAAATGAGCCACAGAGACATAAGAAATATTTTTCAATGTCAGAGTAGTTAATAGATGGAATGCACTAGGCAGTGATGTGGTGGAGGCTGACTCCATACACAGTTTCATATTTAGATATGACAGAGCCCAGTAGGCTCAGGAACCTGCACACCAGTTGATTGACGGTTGAGAGGCGGGACCAAAGAGCCAAAGCTCAACCCCCGGAAGCACAACTAGGTGAGTACACAAACACCCCCCCCCCACACACACACACACACACACTTCCTTTTCACAATAATAATAATAATTTTACAATCCTCATTGCTCTATCCTCGCCTGTTTTCTCGTTCCGTTCACGTTTCGTTCATGTATTTTTTGCCACACCATCCACCCACCCGTTCTCACAAAGGCCAAATGTTCATTCCATCCACCCGCCAAACCCCCTCTTTATAAATAACAAAAAACTACTTTACACACGACTCGCAAATGACGACATTCGAACACTTCTCGAATAGAACTTCGCTGACCTCTGTTCGAATCGCAACTCAGTGCTTCACTCACGTACTTCGAACACAAGTAACTGAAAACAGAAGCTAAAGACCTAACCTACTCTAAAATGTGCAAAATATGATAACACATTTTAACATTAAATTATAGGTGGGAAAATGGCCCGTTTTGACTGACAACGTGTTCAAACTGACGAACTAACAGTGCCAAAGGACGAATTGCTATCCTAGTTAAGGCCGCGCCGACCCCTTGTTCAAAAATTATATATTATCCTGGTACCAATCGGATTATAAATGAATTTTCGCTAATAAAATGAATAATTGTTATTGGACAGCAGCTTCCATTAAAGAGGGGGGGGGGGGAGAAAAATTCTCTCTCGCGCGCGCGCGCGCGCGTGCGTGTGTGTGTGTGTGTGTGTGTGTGTGTGTGTGTGTGTGTGTGTGTGTGTGTGTGTTCTATTTCATCCCTACCGTTCCTTTCAAAATTCTATTTTCATTTCTCCCGTCTATCTTCTTTCTTTCCTCTATCTTTGTTCCCTTCTATAACCTTTCTTCACCTCCTCTATCACCCGTCTCTTCCTAAGTTATCCATTCTTATCTTTCTATTTTTCTCTTCTTCATCTTCATTCGCTTCATTGCTGCCATTTTCCTCTCTCTCTCTCTCTCTCTTTCTTCCTTTCGAGGCTCATTCGTTTTTGCTCTTTCTCCTCCTCCTCCCCCTATTTTATCAATCAATCTCTCTCTTTCTCCTCCTATTTCTATCCATTTCAGTCAATGACTTTCTCTCTTACTCTCCTCCTCCCTCCCCTCTATTGCTTTCTCCTAATCCTTCTCTCCCAAAAGGATCCACACAGACAAAATCCAAAGTTATCAAGGCTACCATTGTCCAAGCAGCTTCCCCGTAATCTAATGGGTGTTGGAGACCCCTTTACAGCACACACCCTTTTGTCACACACATTGGACACAACTCTTTTAATTCCCCCCTTTAAAATGACTATATATAAAATCATGGCTCAATTACCCTTCCATTTATTTTATAATGACCAAAAGTTCCATTTTGGAACGTTGTTATTTAGTGAAACTTTAGTTAAACCTCTCAACCACAATCCCAAACCTCTCACCCACAATCCCAAACCTCTCAACCACAATCAAACATAACCACATTCTCAAACAACACACGCAAAACAAGACAACCATACAACCACAATCCACACAATCGCCTACACATCACAACCATATTATCACAACCACAATGGTACAATCATCACCAATTATAACCCCCCCCCTACATCCCAACCAACATATTACAAATCACATACAACACCCACCTACACATTGCAACAATCAGCAACATCACAATCTCATAGCAACATAGAAGCACGTTTCACATTCACAACACTTTCAGGGCAACATAGTGGCTACATTACATTCTACAACATAACTCACAACATCATGTTGGTTATGAATAGTAGGGTTTGAGAGTTCTTCTGGCCCCCTATAACACTTTATAACATCGTGACATCACGTATAACACACTAACCTCACAATCAACATGACACGTAACACCACAATCAACATTCCGACCAAGCACATAACACCACATGGCAGTCAACATGGCAACGAAATATCTAACAACCACAACATCACAACCAACCACCACAATTTAGCATCACAAGACCATTACCAAAACATCGTCGCTTCAAGACCATCATCACTACACAAGCAACATCACTATACAACCACAACCAGCACCACCACAACCAGCACCACCACAACCAGCACCACCACAACCAGCACCACCACAACCAACCACCACAATTTAGCATCACAAGACCATTACCACAACATCGTCGCCTCAAGACTATGAGCATCATCATTACAGAAGCAACATCACTATACAATCACCACCATCACCACTAGCACCACCACAACCACCACCACCACCCACCACCACAACCACCACAACCAATCACTTACCTGCCTGAGGGGTCAATAGGTCTCTCTCTGGGAAGAAATAGCATTATACAAGACAATGAAAGAGTAAGGAGCTACTTGAAGCTGTTATATATACATATATAAATAATATATAATATATATATATTATATATATATAATTATAAAAGTTAAACAAAACACACTGAGCTCATTAAATGCTGTCTTACCACATTTGAAAAAAATGAATGTAACAATCTGAGCGCTTTGGGATTGTGTCTAATCGATTGGCAAAGACCAAATGATTATAATTAGTATAGACAAGGTCTTGCATGGGAACTGGAAGGATTCGAGGTCCACAATCCCTGTTCTTCCCAGTGTTTCAAATGTGGTAGACCATATTATATATATATATATATATATATATATATATATATATATATATATATATATATATATATATATATATATATATATATACAGCGAATATACACATCCAAAAGAGGTTTAAGAATAATGCAAGAAGACACATTATATATTTTGAAATATGTACATGTGATTGGTATGTATCTACAGGGGTGTGGTGGTGAAGGGTGGTAGTGGATGGTGGTAGTGGTGGGTGGTGGTGGAGGGTGGTAGTGGATGGTGGTAGTGGTAGTGGTGGGTGGTGGTGGTGGTGGTGGGGGTCAGGTTGTGGAATGCAGTGATTGGTGTAGCTATTTAGTAATGATTGAGACTCGAGAAACGCACTAATCTTGCTTCTGATTGTGTCTCATTAACCCCAATCACACTCACTCACTCTCATTCTCTAATTATCACCCAATCTCTCCCTATACTCGTTCTATAGACTGGCTTTGTCTTTCACATTCTCTCCCTTATACTCGCTTCCCTATACTCACTCACAATCACAAACCTTTCTCTTTCACACACACACACACACACACACACACACACACACACACACACACACACACACACACACACACACACACACACACATGTGCACAGATGCATACAAACACACAGTTTAAACACATTACACAGAGGAAGCAAACACTCTGGAGACCCAAATCAGAGCTCTTGAGCGAGAGTGCGTGCACTCGAGTCTATCTTACGCTCCTTACTGGAAGAGTGCGTTAAGAGGTATCTACTGTGCACAGCATCAGGCAGTAGGATGGGCAGCTGTAAGATGTCTAACCATCAAAGTTTTCCTAATATGTATCTGTAAGGTGAGTACTGAGTTCCTAGCCAACTTCTAGGGTCATAGAATCACATTCTAATTGACTCCAGAAGTTGGAAAACGAACAAGTTCCCTTTTGTATATTCATAAATTACTGTTATTAATACTGTTATTTCATATTTTTAATGTGATTGCAAATTGCTATCTATTTTTAGTCGCGTATAAGTAAATTATGTATCTTCATATGTGTTCAATAAGGCTTTACCATATGTATTCCAAAATACATGACTAGTTATAGACTATATAGCTCAATATTTATTTTTTTATGTAAGGTGAAAGTGTGTATTTTGATCTGGTGTAAGTAATTTGACCTCGTGGTGTGTATGTATGTATATATGGTGCTTTGATGATTAGTTACATATGCGAAGAGAGCAAGTTAGGAAGATCTACATATTGCCCATAATACGGGTGCAGAGAGTATAAATATATATACATATGGGTGAGTGCCACGACAAAAGTAATCAATTCTTACTTTTGAAAACCCTTGCATATTTCAACCGTTTGGGCTGCGGCTTCGCTGAAACATAGAAAGCAGGACATATATTAGTTATTTATACAATATACATATGGCTCCTCTAAGTGTGCTTTCAACTTATCAAAACAAAAGACAAAATCAAAGAATACAATGTCAAATTCAATCTCAGTCACTCTCTTGTCTAACATCATTAGTTGAGTATCCTGAATCACGGTTGCCCCCCTTACTCTCTCTCTGTTCATATCTTTTTTTCAATTTAAAGTTTCAGTTTCAGGAAACCAATTTAGACACCTCTCTGAAAAAGTCTTAACCTGGGATCTCCTGTGGAAAGTCTAGAAAAGTCTCCCTAAACGCTTATTTTCATTATTATCAGCCACACTCTTTTTCGGGGAGGGGAAAGAATACATTATCAAAGAATGAGCACAAATTTATTTGATCTAACATGTGTCAATCGTGTTCTTATCTCTCTATCCGCTAAGTCTGATGATTCTGATGACCTCGTTAATGTGTTCTTTCTCAAGAACATCAGCTTCTTAGATCACTCATCATCATTCTCCTCATCCTAATAATAATTATCTTTGTCTCCATCTCCTTCTTTCTACATTATTACCGCCTTTTTTCATTGTTACGGAAACCTCATCACCACAAAATTAACACACAAATTAAATTCAGATAATCGATTAAGGTAAGAACATCACAGAGAGAGACCGAAGGAATGGGAATAGATGATAAGAGACGAATTGGAATCTTAAGACGAAGATGAGACTAAGAGATGTCAGAAAGAACTTGTGTCACAATGGGAGGGTTGAGCACCAATGACATGCATTAGAGGGAGAGAAAGTAGAATCAAAATCAAAAACTAATTTCAAAATCAGATATGTTTGCGAGTCTCTTGAGTTAGACATCATATAAATTGAAATGCGGGGCTCAATAGTTAGCGTTCAACCTTGTAAACACACACACACGCGCGGTTAAGCTACGAGCATAGGAACTAAATCTCTCAACCCTAAGGAATAGAAGAAACAAAGGAGATATGATCACCACCTACAAAATACTGAGGAGGAGAATAGACCTGGCGGACACGGATTACCTCTTCAGAGTGAGAAAAACCAAGACAAGAGGGAAGAGGTAGATGCTGGAAACGCAAATGAACCGAAGTGTCGTAAGAAAGTACTTGTACCCTGTATGGGTAGTTAACCATAGTTAACAAGTGAATTGCTCTGAAAGAACAAGTTGTGTAAGCCACCTCCACCCACAATTTTAAGACCAGAATCCACAAAAAAATTGAAAGTCAGAGTAGTAGAATGGGCAGAGTTTCTTTCACCCCTGATGCACCTGTTCACCTAGCAGTAAATAGGTACCTGGGAGTTAGACAGCTGCTACGGGCTGCTCCTAGGGGAGGTGTTTAACAAAAAGGAGGTCTGATCGAGGACCGGGCCGCGGGGAGGTACAAAACGGGTATAAAGAGATATATATATATATATATATATATATATATATATATATATATATATATATATATATATATATATATATATATATATATAGTGAGAAGCCACAAGGTCTCCTCTGAATACTTTTTATTTTCTTCTCCGAGGCTATGGGTCCCCACATTGGCACCAGAGGTGGTACCCTCACAAACTTTTATATATATATATATATATATATATATATATATATATATATATATATATATATATATATATATATATATATATATATATAATAACAAACTTAATTCGGTTATGTGCTAATATCCACGAAAAAATAAACGTCAATTAAAATTCTGAACGTTTTGGTGTTCCAGCAACATTATCAAGACATACAGACAGAAGACTTGGGATTTGGGATTATATATAATCCCCCCTACACCATAATCCCCCTTCACCTGAGGAGATTAAGATTCATACACCAAGTCTTCCCTATACTCCTCGATCTTGTAGTTGGAACATGAAAACGATCGAATTTTTCATGTTTTCCTAGGTGGATACATAGACCAATATGTATGTATACATACATATTGTCCTGCAAATATACAGCTGCTAGAGTATCACTGCTATAGGTTACATAGTCCCCCCCCCCACTCTATACCTGCACTGAAATATAAGTCATTACAGAATTAAATATATATAAGAAAGCAAAAAAAAAAAAAAAAAAATTTGGTTCGTATACTCAGTTGAATTTACCTTCAGAGTCAAGTCAGCTGCTGGTAGTAAACTTCCCACATTATAGTTTTTGGCTTGACCATATGTCTGTGACGTCACTGGAAGGGGGGGGGGGAAGGGGAGGGGGTTGGTGGTCTCGGAGGGGTGGTTCGACAAGTTATAGCTTCGGTTCGAGGATTTCTTGAAGCGGAAAAAGATTTCACGTTAAGTTTAAAAAAAAAAATAAATAAAAAAAAAAAATAAAAAAAATTGTGGATAACATTTCACTCTAAAAGTTTTTTTTTTTACATCTGTATTCGAAGATTTATCAATTGTATTATAGTAACTATATATAATTATATACACATCACTGGTTAGCAACGACCTTACACGTAGTGGCTTAAATTAAATTCCTTAATAATATATAATTATATAAATAAGGTTATATCAAGCGTTCCTATTGGCGCTCAGACTTAAGAGGTCCTCTTAGGTGGTAGGGGATGTCCTGTACACATTCACGTTACTGGTCTGACAAATAGAAACGTAACTATTAGCAGTCATAGAGTAATTAGAAGTTTTATACATTATACGAGAGGTTCCTACAGCAAGAAGCCTCGCCTGAACATGGTATCTTGACAATTGTTAGAAAGACCGCTTTGAATCGTGCCCAAACGTCAAGCACCCGGATTCACAGTTACGCAAGCACTTCGTAGGTGCTTGCGTAACTACTTTATGAATCCGGGGCGTCAAGGACAGCCCCTATAACACCAAGAAGTGATATTATCACCATGACGCCTTAAGGTTATCACTACAGAGGGACTCCGTATACCAATCCAGCGCCAGACTGAAGGCTGGGAGCCGCATGCAGAGACAGTAGAGGTGTGGGTTACCTTTTCGCTTGCATGAAGGCCGAGTAACTTGACCTGTTGAACAAGGACACGTTATATTTCTCAATCTCTCACCTACAACCATACTACAAGTCCTAGGGCCAGATTCACGAAGCAGTTACGCAAGCACTTACGAACGTGAACATCTTTCCTCAATCTCTGACGGGTTTGGTTACATTTATTAAACAGTTTACAAGCGTGAAAACTTGCCAGTCAACTGTTGTTATTGTTATAAACAGCCTCCTGGTGCTTCGTAGCTCATTAACTGTTTAATAATTGTAAACAAAGCCGCCAAAGATTGAGAAAAGATGTACAGGTTCGTAAGTGCTGGCGTAACTGCTTCGTGAATCTGGCCCCTGTTTCTGGCCAGCTACGGCTACTGTGTTATTTACAACTGTTGGTGAGGTGACTTCGTGCTAAGTTGGTGCATGGGTAACCTCTTTTTGGGGGCTGCCTGGTTTTGGGGAGCTACGTTGGTGTTGTGTTTTTTTTTTTGGTTTGGTTGTCACCTGTTTGTCTTAATCTACATAAATAAATTAGCAGTTATGTCTCATAATTTATTGCAGCGCAATAATTAGCATGGATTTTTTTTTTTTTTTTTTTTTTTTAATTAAACATGCATAACTGACCTCAATTTTACCCACATGTGTCACACCGACTTGTTCATACACTACTGCAAGCGGCTCAAGAGGCTTGTTAGGTAGTTAGTAACTGCTGCAGGATAGTTCAATGGCTTGTTAATCACTGCAGGTTGCTCAGGAGCTTCTTAAGTTAATTACTGAGCTGGCTCATTGGCTCGTTAGTAGTGACTATTAGTGGCTCAGGGGCTTGTTAATTATTAGTTAGTGGCTTAGGTTATTGTTCGATTGATGTTTGACAACATTCGCAGCGACATTTGGCTCTATTTTTTATATTCCATATGTTTATATTTATATATATATATATATATATATATATATATATATATATATATATATATATATATATATATATATATATATATATATATATATAGTGTGATACAAAGAGCCTTAAGATCATGTAGGCAATTGAGTGCAGCTGAGAACTATTTCCTGTTCAATAATGGCTATCGTTAACTACCAATTTCGTGTTCAAAAATATCTATCACATGTTGCAAAGTAACAAAAGTGACTGTTTGCGTTTCACTATAACTGATTGTTACGTCACATTATCGTAACAAACCTCTTTCTGCAACGAGTTATCTTTAGTTAGCAATGATGATTGCTCTGATAGATCTTACCTAGTTAGTTGAATGACTCGTTACGGATGAATGGGAAATGTATGGTTCTTTCATGCTGTTCAAAGCCTAATTATGTTCATGCTTACTTTTTTTTTACTTTTCGTTCTGTTGGTTCAAAATATTATCTATATTTACAGTTAAGTGTTTATGGTATCTACAATATCAGTCTAATGTTGTTTATATATATATATATATATATATATATATATATATATATATATATATATATATATATATATATATATATATATATGAGTGTCAGACCACGAAGGAAGAATTGAACCAGGAATTTCCTTAAGTTCGTTCGAATTTAATAATACATCTTCATCCTTCTGAAGTTGATAATAATACGAATGAAGATTTTGTATTATTAAATACGAAAGTACTTAAGGAAATTCCTGTTTCAGTTCTTCCTTCGTGGTCTGACACTGTCATAATATATATATATATATATATATATATATATATATATATATATATATATATATATATATATATATATATATATATATATATATATATATATATATATATATATATATATATATATCTGTTGACAAGTAATCTTGGATCAAATACAGTATACATTTTGTTATAAAAGTGTTGCAATGACAGCATATGCGTGTTACAGCATAATACAAGATGCATAGATAATGCATTTTTAGCATGATAGATACAATTATACTCAGCAGCGTCATAATAGACTAGGCCTATATATATACATATATATATATATATATATATATATAT